CAGCAGTAGCAGCAGCAGTAGCAGTTAAACCACAATTGACAACGACGACGACGACGACGACGACGACTACGACGACTACGACGACGAGTGCTAGTACGAGAACCGCAGTACCACGGCTACAGCTGCTGTTGCTGCTAGTACTGCTTCTACGACGACGACCACGACTACTGGTAGATTGCCGTGATGCTGTTGCGTGTCCTCCATCTCATCGTCCTGCACGTCCTCCATGGCACTGCTGGACCTACTACCATCCAGCTCAACGGCTTCCAGCACCAGCCCCAGCACCAACAACAGCAGCGCCGCTGCAACCCTATATCCACCGTCACTATCGCTACTGCCACCGCCACTGCCACGTCACTACGCTACCGTAGTATTGCTGTTAATGCTCCCTCTTCACGACGACGGCGAGGACAACGACTTCCATTGTGCATGCTGATGTCGCTGCCGCTGTTTGCCTCTGCACACGAATGCTGTGGCTGGTTCTATTCTATTCTCGTCACGCAGCGCCTAGCCTGAGTGCGGTTTCTTTGAGTGTCACGGGGCCAGAGGCATGCACGGAGTCTGCGTTGGTCCCAGCCTAAGGAACTCTGGGAGCTCCATGAAACTGTCGGAGCCGGAGCATGCCGTCTCCGTAGACAGTCTGAAGCTGGTTCTTGAGGCCCGTCGGGCTTTTGTGCAAGGATCGTGTGGCTCAGGGTTCACGAGCAAGCTTCGTGTTTGGTCATGGTGACAGAACTTGCCAGCCCTCTGGGGATCACAGGGATGTCGAAAGTATAAGAGGCATAAAGCCAGAGCATGGGCTGTTTGGCATCGGGGCATGTCGGTTGACGCAAGTTGTGCGCAAGCTCTATTAGCTAGTACGTTCCAGTTACAAAGGCCGGGACGAAGATGTTGGGGTGGACGTGGAGACGGGCCGGGTAGGATCGATTCTGCTTGTCGCGATGCCCGAAGGATGATGAGGAGTTGCATGCCGGTGTGGCAATTGCAGTGGCAGAGCAGGACGGTTGAAACAGCAGTTTGACGGGTTTGATTCGATCTTCAACCTCTGAAGCTTTGGGTTTGCGGTTTTAAGTGGGGTGAGATTCGTCTGTCGTCCTGAAACCTGTATCATCGTTCTGTTGCCAGCACTACCCACTACTGTGACGATTATCATCATCATCATCAAACAGCGGCACCAGCACGATCCCCATGACCACCGCCACCGCCACCCGCACCTGCAACCTCACCACCAGCACCACCAGCACCAGCACTACCACCAGCAGCACCGCACAGCAGCAACAACAACAGCAACAGGAATAGCAACAGCAATAAAACTAGAAACAGCAACAGCACCAGCAACAGCAACAGCAGCAACA